CCAAATATGCTAACGAGCCACCCTTGTTCCATTTCAAAAAAATGAGATATGATTAAAAAACGATTTGGGCATCTTTTAACCGGCCAGGACAAGACACGAAAAACATTAGATCTAATCTATTTTTCAAAGGCACCTTGATTAAAGTTTAGTGTTTTTAACACAGCCATTGCACTCTAGATTGAAATTTAAAATCAAATACGTTTAAATTACCTATACCTCCGCCTATATATTACCGGCCTCCCCGTAAGAGCAATGAGAGAATTTATGTCCCAGTATTGAAGGAGGACAGAAAATCGAGTCGAATGGTTTCAAGACATAGGTTCATTCTTGTTTAGTCAAACCTCCTACCACACAAGGATAGACTTATGTAGGAAATGCATTGAAATTCTATAGCCATCCTTTAACATCGGGACAGGAATTTAAGCGGTACCCTCCGTATAGGTAATTTAAACGTATTTGTTTAAAATACAAGTTTTTTGTAAGCGAAAATGTCAAAAATTGACATATGATATGTCATTCTATTCAGAGTGTCATTTTCTATCGAATGAAGTAAAAATATACCGGGGGTGTTATTTAAAAACCAGAAGTTGTAGTCATATCCGGTGAAATAGGAAGTGACTAAAAACAATTGAATACGTCAGTCAATCCTAATTTATGTCATATACTAGCATACCATATCTCGTTTTTTTTATTTAAAAAAATAAAAAAGTTATAGGGGTGTGCCACTTTTGAGACGCACCCGGTATATAAACTGTTTTCATGTTTTTTTTTCTAGAATAGTAGGTACAGATTTTTTTAATTTTTAACGGAAATTTGGTGTTAACGAATTCCATTTAATATTTTCATCAAACTATTATTTATTATTATAAGCATAATGCATTATTTAATGCATGTTTTGCTCTTATTTTTAATAATTGACTTTTAATCAGGTAAATAGCCGCTCCAATATATTTTTCTCAGATAAGAAACTTGTTTATCAAACTTACTAAAAATTAAGCACAGTCACAGCAATGGAATCTATGGATTGTTACTGTTACAAATTGTGTTGAAATCATGTTGAAATGTTTTTTACTGATATGAAAAATATTTTCTTTTTAAATAATACTGTATTTTTTGTATCAAAGAAAAACAAATTTAATTTTTATAGTCGAAAATCATTATATTATTAAAATTTATTCACAATTAATTAAAAGATATATAAATATATTAAAATTCATAGAGTTAAAAAATTTAAAATCTTTATCATCTTTATCATCGTCATCATTCTCAGCTTATTCAACCATTTCCAATTATGGTGTAGCCTCCCTCACATGTTTAGATACTCTCTTTGTAGTTGGGCCCATTGTTGTCTATTGTTGGCTATGCGGGCCCTATATATATTTCTTAATATCATGGTCCCATCTCAAGTTTGGTCTTCCTCTAGGCAGAGTTCGGAACTAGTTAATTAAGACGTAATTTACCTGATTAACTACGTGTAGTTTTTCTTTAAAAACTACCTCTTTTCCTGTTCATTAACTACATGAAAACTACGTTAATAAACTAGAATTATAAATTCATAAAAAACAGAATATATGTAAAGGATAACACAATATATTAAAGTTATTATAAAATACGAAAACTCAAAACATTAAAACACATTATGTGTTTTCTAAAGCTTCAACTTAATATAACCTCACCTCAAACCTGCCTCAAAGCTTTGATATTTGAAAATTACATACATAGGGTACATAAACTACACCCTCTACATTAACTACATGTAATGTAGTATGTAGTTTTTAAAAGTAACATGTAGTTTTCCGGACCCTGCCGCTAGGTCTCTTAATTCCTCCTGTGTACCACGCTGTAATCTTTGTGGTCCATCTGTTGTCCGTCCTTCTTGCCAGGTGTCCTGCCCATTGCCACTTGAGGGATTTGATTCTGTGGATAACATCTATTACCTGGGTCTTTTGTCGTACCCACTCTATTCTTTTGTGAGCTTTCTTGGTTATTCCCAGCATATTTCTTTCCATTGAGCGTTGTGCTACCTGCAGTTTTCTTATAATGTCCGTTTAAGAGTCTAGGTTTCGCATGCCTAGGTCATGACTGGTAGTACACATTGGTGTAATGTTTTCTTCTTTAGGAAATCGTTATAATAGGGTATAAATTGAGCTAGTGCTAAAAATTAGGGAGAATTCTATTTTCACTTGGTAACGGTCAGTAATACATCTGACTGAAAGGTTATGTAAGTTAAAATAAATAAAACAATGGAAGGTCGAAATTCTTTAAGTATCATTTTATACAGGGTGGCCCATCGAAAACGTTCCGCAAGGCATAACGGCCAGGGTAATTTTTTTTCAGAAAATTCAAAAACACGTCAATTTTGTATGTGAGGGGGACAACTTTTTCCCCAAAAATGATTGCAAAATCTTAAACCTTCTAAGCGGGGGTGTCATCCCCCAACTTTTTTCTAATGGGAAGGGGGGTCAAGTGGTACCGCAATGAAAAGAGCTTTTTATTCTCTATACTTTCCCGCTTCGTTTTTGAAAATCGGTCGAGTCATTGAGAAAATATGAAGGATTGAAATTTGAAAAGTTTATTTAAACATTTATCAGAGTAAATGATAAGGATAAATTCCTTCGACCAATTTGCTGTTGTTTCTTATTATTTCTAGATGTTTACGCATTTTTTCACTTGCCACAAGGTTGAACGATCAGGTGCGGTAGTTGCTAGATTCTGTGACTTGTGCGTTGAAGTTCTTCTCAATATCGTTAAACTTTTTAACAATTATGGTGTACTCACTTGCAGAAAAAGTGGAAATAATCGAACTTTATTTTAAAAATAATGAATGAATGTCGGGTTCCGCAGATATTCAATGAATGCCATCCTGAAAAACACTTTTATGGCAAAATTGTTCGCGAGTTAGTAGCAAAATTTCGCGAAACTGGTTCCGTTATGAATAAAAAGAGGCAGAGGGAAAACCCTTATTGGTCCAAGTTGCCAAGTTGCCAATGCAAAATTAGCCGGCGTGAATCGTACAATTGTCCAAAGGATATTAAAAAAACACAAGTTCCACCCGTACAAAATTCAGTTGGTACAAGAACTCAACGAAGACAATTTTGATCGTCGCTTGCTTTTTTGTGAAACTATGAGTGAACGAGTGGCGAATGATAATAATTTCCTATTTAATGTGTGTTTTTCGGATGAGTGTACTTTCTTTTTGAACGGTGTAGTTAATCGGCATAACTCTCGGTACTGGGCCGAGGACAACCCCAGGGTTTTTCACGAGGTGCACACACAAAACCCTCAGAAATTGAACGTGTGGGCTGGTATTTTTGGAAATTCTATTGTAGGTCAGTTTAACGATATTGAGAAGAACTTCAACGCACAAGTCATAGAACAGCTATCTAGCAACTCCCGCACCTGATCGTTCAACCTTGTGGCAAGTGAAAAAATGCGTAAACATCTAGAAATAATAAGAAAAAACAGCAAATTGGTCGAAGGGATTTATCCTTATCATTTACTCTGATAAATGTTAAATAAGCCCTTAATTACCTTATTTTTACAACACGGTATCAGTAGCCCTCTCGATTATGCCCATTCGAACACAAAAGTATGATAGAAACAGTTAGTTTATTTTAAAGTCGACGAAATACCAGAATACGACGAAATACCAGAATATCTAATAATTAAGATATTAATAACAGTGAACAAGAAACGATGATTCAGTGCAGTCATGGCAGGCTTTGGAAAAAAGTTGCTTTTCACGTAATAGTATAAACGTCAAATTGTTATTAGATCAACATTTTGATAGTCTTAGCAGCGTTTTTTATCTTTTGATTGCTTTTCAAATGCTATTTCAAATTGCTATTTCAAAATGCTATCAACTTCAACTACTTCAAGTAATGAAGGTATTTTGAAAAAAGCAATTACAAGATGAAAAACGCGGCTAAGACTATCAAAATGATCTAATAACAGTTTGACGTTTATACGATTACGTGAAAAGCAACTTTTTTCCAAAGCCTACCATGACCTCACCGAATCATCGTTTCTTGTTCACTGTTATTAATTAATATCTTAGTTATTACATATTAATACATCTGGTATTATGGTATACTGGTATTTCGTCGATTTTAAAATAAACTGACTGTTTCTATCTTATTTTTTTGTTAGAATGGGCATAATCAAGAGGGCTACTGATACCGTATTGTAAAAATAAGGTAATTAAGGGCTTATTTTTTGGTATTTATTATAGTTTTTCTAATATCTTTGGTTTGAAAGAAGATATCAAGATGCAGTTTTCGCTGACTTTTTAAGCTTTTACTACTCTTTACTTATCAGCTAAAATTACATATATTCTCGTATTTAATTTTTTTGAAAAAACGCGCTGTTTGTTAGATAGTAAGAAAGCGCCCCCTAGCGTCTACGTTCAAAACCTTATTATTATTATTTTTATGGTGCAATATAGAGTAAGAAACGCTCTTTTAAACGAGCCCTCGCTTGTTGGATTCTGATCAACCAGTCCGGAGTTATTAACATTTATATAAAGATAGATCTAACCTTCCCCCACCACTTTATTTTAGCAGATAGGGGAAAATGGTTCCAACAAAGAAAATCCAAAATTTACTGAAGCTTATGAAGCTATTATTTATAGTACTCATTATCTAGGCAAAATTCTGTAAAAATTCTATTTTCTTATTTTCCATAGCAGTTGCGCCCCCTAGCGGCTGTTTTACAAACTTGAAAATAATTTCCAGCAATTTCTCATAGCCCCTTTAGTTATAAATATTTTTTTCCGTAAGCCCTACGGCCAATACTTTCCCAGATAAAGCCGAGAGCTATTCTTAGTGGGACACCCGCTACAAAGAGTATGAAAGTATGCAATATATGACATAACGATGAACTATGATTTTTCAGATAATACTTGTGATCTTAGTGAACATTAGTATTAGTCCGAAACTTAAAAATGTGAATTAATGTCATTTCCATCACTACTATGCTAATATATTGATTATCTATTGTAGTTTTCTATGCTTCATGTTGTTCCACCAATGTCAACTACTGAATCTGTGAGAACTAATAAAGAGCTGTGCAATGAAGCTGGATTTGTTGAAGTAGATAAATCAACGTTGCAGCATGTTCGTTTCCCAAATGTTTTCGCTCTGGGAGATTGTAGCAGTTCTCCCAATTCAAAAACTGCAGCTGCTGCAGGTAAATATTTTTCCGTAAGATTAACATAATATGTCAATTTTTCTTATTTAAACTTAATTTTATATTATAAAGATATTTAAACTCCATACTGTTTTAAGGGATACCTAAAATGTTTTATATGTTCTTTTATAGGTATTATAGTCTAGATATAAAATTAACAACTGAAGTCTGACTAATAAAAAATTAATTAGAATCTTCAGTTAAACTGTAGGTAGACAATAACATAATATTGTGTTTTTCTAGTGTCATATTGTCTATCAATTAATAAATAATCATTTTAAGCCCCGACTACACATTAGACCAAATAAATACCGGTTATGTATGTCAGTTAAAATCCTTTGAATATAAAACCAGAGTAAGTAGATCGCCGAGTAGCGACAGAAACCGTCGGCTCTTTTGATGTGGTGGGACCAAATTTTCTTTCTCTCTCTTTTGACGTGTTTGACAGATAGACTACGTATTTAACTGCTCAACTTATGAAGTGGTCCTATAAACATAGTATACACTGCTCATAATTTGAAGTGGAATTAATTATAAAGTTTTATACATATTTTTTTTGTTTTGTTTTATCCTTATTTCTAAATTTGAATGTATAAAATATCTTACAGCTAATAAATAATTAAAAAAAAAACGATTCGTTGCCTGAGGTATACTTGAAATAAAGTATATAGAGATAGTTGATAAATGGCAACAGTGGCAACTTCGCTTCTTCATATGACAGATAACCTACTTATTTCACGCAGCCGCAAAGAAAATTGTAAACGAGACTGTCGCTACTCGTCGGTTTACTTACTCTGATAAAACTTTATAATGTATAACCATTTTCAGTAAAAGCGCTAAATTATACAAAATTCAAACTAAAAAAAGTTTCTCTCAGAGCATACATTTCATAATATAGACGAATATTTTGCGATCGTAAATCCACAAACAATATTTCCCCTATAATGTAGGTATCTGTTATTGTTTGTTCTTTAAATATTTTTTTTTTACATTTTAATATGTTTATATTTGTTCCTTTATGTTTTTTGATGCTCAATGTACTTTTTGTCTAGCCTGCTGCAAATGTAATATTTACAAAAAGTAGTCTATAAGATTATTATTATTATTACGTCTAAAGAACGTTTGTAAAATTATATTATTATGTGAAATTATGCAAACATATTAGATCTTTGAAAGGTGTTTATTAAAGATGAAGAACTATTTCCATATATCTTGTTCAAAAATTCCGACTGCAGCGCTCGGTATGGCAGAAATTAGAAATGCCCGACTAAAATATTTACGCAGTCCCGTTATGATGTCCATGTTGATGCCATTGAAATAATATTCAAATCGTGGCTTTGTGATATATTTAAGTATTTTAGTTTTTATTAGCGTAGTTATTAAAACTATAAAATTCTCATGTACGAAATTAGTGTGATGTAACACAGTTTCGGATAATAAAAATTAAGTAAAAAGGAACCCAAGGCGACGCGTTATGTTGTAGTTGACAATTTCAAATGATAATAAAATTTCCGAAAAAATGTCATCACGAAAAGAATAGCATAATTGCGTGGTTGTTGGGTGCAATAACACTCAATACAACTCTCCCGAAACAACGTTTTACAACTTCTCAGCTTTATCACACCGATTCGATCAAAAGCAAAAATGGAATCACACAGTTCGAACAAGTGGGTAAACAAATCATAATCAAAAACCCATTGTCCATTACATTTTGGTCAATATTAATGGCACATTTCTTTTTAAGCTTTTAATATTACTAGTGCTTAAATGTTGTGTGAGCGTCTTCTAAAATTATAATTATGTACCTTAAAAAAATCTCGTTACAGTCCTACCCACCAACAATGTTTAAAACACTTGTTTTTTTTAAGAAAATGTTTAAAATATTTAACATAACAACCTTCACATTAATCGGTACAGCAAATTTATTTTTTCAGCTGCCCAAACTGAGGTAGTTTTCGAAAACTTGGAAGCTGTAATGAAAGGAAAGAAAATGCCTCTGAAATACGACGGATACGCTTCGTGTCCTTTGGTTACCGGTTACAATAAATGTATATTGGCCGAATTCGATTACGATCTGAACCCGTTAGAAACGTTCCCTTTCAGCCAAGACAGAGAACTGTGGTCGATGTTTATTTTGAAGAAAAACGTGATTCCCACCATCTACTGGTCTCTAATGATGAACGGACACTGGAACGGGCCAGCCCTTTTCAGAAGAATAATGCATTTGGACCTTTTCAAGAAACGCCAATAATCTACATTATGGCATTATCTAAGTAGTATTAATGATTCAAATAAACATAGGTCCAGTGTAAATGAGTGCAATTTTAATGCTTCGAGGTATTAAGAACATATCTTGTGGTATAGGCTTGGTGCATTTCAGTTGATTTCAACAAATTCCGACCGCAGCGCTTCAACGGAAAAAAATCTGAAATTATCAATATATGTATAGTTCACGCCGCCGCACAGTGCTTCGTCCTATGGACAAAAAAAAACGTAAAATTTACTAATATCTGAATATGTAATTTTATACTTATAGCAATGTTCAACCATCCTGTATATTATTTTTCACAAACAGCGTTTTTTGTTAGCAAATATTTTCACTTAAAATAAATTTTGCGATCATTATCTTATATCAGTAAAAAGAATAACATTTATAGTAGTTCTGTATATGGAGTTAAACAGTACGTACTTAATTGAAAGCCACTATGAACATTGTTAAACAAGGTATCTACTTTAAATTTATTTCTAAACAAGTTCGTGATTGTTTAGTTTTTATTTATTTTTTAAGATGATTCTTAAATGGGTATAAAAATTTTACGTTTTCAAACTTCAAAAAGGCATTAAAAAAACATATCAAAACATATCGTATTTATTGAATATTTTTGTTGTCATATTCATACACTTTTAATTTTTGTATAGTTCACCTGCGTCTGCTTGCGACGAACTTTATTTTATAATACTTTTCAGATGGAGTAAAATTGATAAGCAATCTGGTTAATACTTGGCTTGATCATATGGACAAGAACTCAAAATTATTTGTATTTTAAAAAATGTGTTCTTTATTAGATATTGATGAACCTTCCAGTCCAATGAGACAACCACTTGTGCCTGAAAAAGCCCACTATGTTGGAGCGAAACGTGGCATAAAAAAAGTTTCCACCTTTCAATTTATTATAAAACCTCATACCCAAGAAAACGAAAAAATAATATATGGATATGGTCTATTAAAGAGGTAACTATTAACATCCGAACCCCTCATACCAACAAAAAGAACAGTAACAAAGCGAAAAAGTAAAATATTAGAAAATGATGTACAGAAATATCTTATATGTGAGGATATTTCATCTACCTGTGATTCGGATACTATAAATTTGGAAGATTCTGTCAGCAGTGATTCTTCTGAATCAGAGTAGCTATGATCTATGCATTTTGTTGTCCTAAAGTAAATTTATAGCATCTTAAGTTTTTTTTAAATAAATATAGCATTAATGTTTCTTTTTCATTAAAGAAAAACATGTTTATCTTATATTAGGTTTATATTGTAGGAATCATTTTCTAATGTTATTCCAATTCTTTTTTATCACAGGGATTTATTTAATACTTACACCGTTTTCATACTATAAATTATTATTTCCTTAGATGGAACACAGCTCCAACATTTTTATTATTTATAAGATTTTTTTTTTCATAAACGTGGGACTAAGAACATCATCATTTAGTACAATGAGAGTACTCATCATTTGTGTCAAATAAACCTAGTTTGAATAAATTGCCTACAATAAAAGAGAAGTTTTGCATTTTTGTCCTCTAGAGCCATATGTTCGAAGCACTGTGGCGCCGGCACCACTAAGCAGCAAATAATATTGAAATCGTGGTTTTGTCACAATATTTAAGTATTTTGGTTTTTTGCTTGTACAGTTATTGAAACCATAAAACACTCAGGTACGAAGTTTGTGTGATGTAACGCTGTTTCGGGTAGTAAAAAATAAGTGAAAAGAAATTCGACCTAGGCGTCATGTTGTGTTGTGGCAGTTTCTAATGTTAATAAAATTGCCAAAAAAATGTTAACGCGTAAAGGAGAGCGTAATTAGGGCGTTGTTGAGTGCAATAACATTCAATAGCTCAACTTTCCCGGATATTCAACTCTCCCGAAACATGAAACAACATTTTATAGCTTCATAGTTTATAGCTTCCAAATCACACCGATCAAAAGCAAAAATGAATTCAAGCAGTTCGACGAAACAAGTGAGTAAACAAAGTATTCATAATTAAAATATTAAGTAGCATATACTATGAGAGGATAAAATATAATTTGCAATATTAATGGTCTACTTTTTCTAATCAACTAGTGATTAAATGTTTTATGAACGCCTTCTAAAATTATAATTATGTACCTTTAAAAAATTTCGTTATAGTCGAAATAGCCCCAATTATGCCTCACTAGCAAAACCGGTGATTAAAACTATGCTCGTTACCGTAGTTGAACTCATCTAAAAAGTTTTTTTAACTGGAATAATAAATTATAATACAAATTAGACCTTCTGAAGATATTAAAATATTTCCTTTTTTATTTTTATTTTTAGAATTTTTACAAATTATTCTTCCTAGCACTTTTAGAATGATTAAATAATAAATTTTTCGTATACTCGCTATTTAAACCCGTGTATTTGTATACGCTAGTTTTTGACGATATTCTCCGATGGTGGCAGCACTGGCAGAGAATGCACCAAGCCTATAGCAAGTACCTGCATATATTTGAAATAAATCAAAAAATATTTGTGATAAATTTTATTGGTAATCTGTGATGACTCAAAATAAATTTATATTTTTACCTAATACGTCCTTTTTGAACTTTAACAATACATTTAGAAATCGTATGAAACTATATTTGTCTGTATTTTACAGCTGTATTATTATTATTTTATCAATATTAGAACAAATTAAAATATATCTATACCTATTTACACTTTATATTTTTTATATATTTACTCAAATAGTATATTTTTATCTTGCTTTTTGTTTTTTAACTATAAATAAAATTATACATGACATATTTATACACCATAATAAAATATTTACATATATATCCATTCGTTTTTTCTTACCATTTTTAAAACTATCTGTAATATTTTATTACACAAAAAGTTCTCGTGAATTTAAACCAAAGCGCGGTATTAAAATACTTATTAAAATTAGTTAGACAGATTCATTCAACACATAATTTTGACTCGCCCTGTATATATTCGATAGCATATAATGGGTTTTAGTACACTTAGTTTTGAAAATGATATTATTATTTTAATAATAATAATACGTGATAATAGTGTGGACACTGATATAGAAGTATTTCCAAACAACAGAACCAAACCAAAGGAAAATTGTATAAAATAAAATTCAATGCTTTGCAAGTTTATTAATAATTTTTTTGTCGAAAAATGCAATTTGCAAAAAAAGAATTTTCAAAAGTGTGTCCACTATGTGCTCATATTTTGAAGTGAAACTCCTTCTTACTTTCGTCTGTCCATCTGAGAACTCCATTGGGGTACCTGTATCCACGTGCCGAGTTTGGTTCCAATCGACCGGGATGGAAAAATCCTGAGTACCATTTTAAACGTTGAGGGCGTCATCCTGTAGCCCGTCCCCAATTATGGCGAAATCGACCCACATTTTTCTTCAATATCAAATCGTTAGTCCCACCCTGATGAAGATATAAACGAACCGTCGTATCCAACTTTGCAGGGAGGGACGGTGTGCACCGTCGTCTAACATAGCGCACCCACCAAATTTCGTCGCGATCGGACGACATTAACTTTTGACGTTTCTTACGTCAAAACTAACTATCGCAGTGGCACGTGCCGTACCAACCACGGCCTTGGTCCAATCAATCGACATACCAAATTTCATTTAAACCGGAAGATTTTTTGATTTGATTCATTGATGATGGGGTTTCGTAGTGCACGAAACGTCGTCAAAATATCATGAAAAGATGAGTCCCATCTATATTCTGTTTCAGCCCCCTAGCTGACATAGGGCCTGAGTTACGACGCTCCAAGATCGTTACCACTTTTGCTCTCGCGTCTCATGTGTCACTGTTTTCAATTTTGTCTCCCATGGCGCGTAAAGAAGTTTCATTTCAAAAATAATATACAGGGCAACTATTTAAAAAAAACATAAGTTTGGTTCATATTTCAAGAATGACAGGTTCCAACGAAAATCTAGTTACATCACGAAATTCTACGGGAAAAACTCTATCGGGCTCAGTTTTCACCTTTTCGATAAGTTATAAGATAACGCGAGATACGAAGGGGGTCAAAAAATGCAAAATTTGCAAATTTCAGGAACTAAGAGGGCTAGGACAAATCTGTGTGTTGCGTATTTAGTTTTATAAAAAAGCACAGTCATGTGAACTGTGAACTGTGCACTTTGTATCTATACTCATAACGGATAAAGAATACTATACCGTAGTTCTGTTTTCAGTCGACAGAGTGAGTGGTTGCTGAAGACAGTGTCGCCAGAACTACTGATTAATCCGTAGATTTACGGATTTTGGGTACAGTAATCCCGATTTTCTATCATTAAACAATTTAATGTAATATTATATGATTAAACAAGGAACGACGTCACAGTGGGCTTGGAAATGAAGATCGCTCTATTTTCATATGTAAAATATTATAGTAAATCTCAATAATCGTAATTTCCAAGCCAACTAAACGACTTTTTTCGATCATACAACATATTCAGTACTTGTAACAGAATTTTTATTTTTGTTGTTGATTCTATGTTTAACACGAATAAATTTTCAATACATAAACGCGGATTTTTCATCCATATTTTCATGAAACGTATTACAGATATTACACATTTTAATATGGCAACACTGTCGCTTTCAGTTCCACACCGTCTTCGATATGACTTTGCTGGCCGAATTAGAAAAAATGAGTATTTTATGCGTTGGCCGCAGAACGAGTGGTGGCTCCACCATACACCACTTGAGACGCAAGGGGAAGTCAAGTAAGGCCTTGTCACGAATTCGCCCATTAGGTTGCATGTCTTTCCAATTCTTTCAATCAACGGTATCATCATAAAATTATCTATACTCTCATTCTTAGAATCTTTACTCGTCTTATCTACAACTTATTTTGTACAATGCTTAACTAGAATATGTTTATAAACCTTTAACAAATGGTATTTTATTGTACTTATTAGAAATGAAAATTTTGCTTTTAATATTAGACACAACTACTTGAGCCCGTCAAAATGAATGTAAAATTGGTAATAATACCGATGATGATATTTAAATGCGACAGATAAGATTATACAAGTAGCCTAATCTTTTAATCCGTCAATAAGCGAATACCTATCCATTTCTAGTAAGTTTTCGTACGGGGATTTAAGAACGTACAGATTTGTTTAAAATGCCGATTTGTTGTCGAAGCGATGTTAACCTTCCCGACCAAGATGATAGCAGGAAATACACGAGAGACTTCATGGAAACGAAGAAAATCCTACTTCTGGGCACTGGCGAATCCGGCAAGACCACTATTATAAAGCAAATGAAAATTTTGCATATCAATGGATTTTCCGATGAGTAAGACATCTTCATTAGTGCTTTTTAGGACAATAACGCGTCTACACCTATACCTTGTGGTGGGGTTCAATCATCAGTGAAACAAAAAAGAAAAAACTGAAAACAATAAAATGCGAATGCTTTACATCAAACTACTACACAGGATGCGGCCATAGTGCGTCGGGCATCTGTAGCTCCTATAATAAAAAACTTAGAAATTTTACATAAGTTCATACCTAAAGTATATATTTTACTAGGATGTATTTGAGAAAAATATTTTAACTTCTACAGGGTGGCTTAAAAAAGAAAAGAGTGGATCGGGATGATTTTTTAAATGGAACACCCTATATATTATTGCTTTTTTGGCTTCCTTTCTGATCACTTTACATAATCCCAAGATATTATTAAATCTATTTTGATACTTTCAGACATATTAATAAACAAATAAAAAATATGTTTCAGCCTTTTTTTAAAAAGTACTAAAAATACAAGAAATATCTTGAAATCAAAACTACATTAGGCATTTCATTTCATTTCAGGGTGTTCAAAATTGTATGCCATACTTTAGGACATTTCTTGTATAATATCTCTAAAACTATCAAAACATATTTAATAATATCTTAGGATTATGTAAAGTGATCAGAAACGAAGCTAAAATGCAACAATATACAGGGTGTTCCGTTTAAAAAAATTACCATTCACACTTTTTTGGGTTACTCTGTAGAAGTGGTGTTTCCTGAAATACATCCTAGTACATACTTTAGGTTTGCACTTAAATAAAATTCCTAAGTTTTTTATTATAGAAACTACAGATGCCTGACGCACTATTGCCGGATCCTGTATAGTGGCATTTTCCATTTTTTTAATGCTCTTTTTCAGTATCTTAGCAGGGATTGCAAAATAACATACTATAGAAAAAAAAGGGCCATTCAGTTTTGAGGCAAAGACAAAAAAAAACAGAACTCGACATAAATTATCATCGATGATATTTCAACGGCCACTGTAACGCCTTTTTTCGATCATTATCACAAAGTCCCGAACAAGAACATTATTGTTACTGATTATTCATACACAACCCATATATTATATTAATAGATAAGTACCCACTTTTGTTATACAATAGCAAAGTAGATACCTCTCGATAATCAATAGCAGCTTGTAAGATTTTTGGCATATGGACAAAACTTATGTTTACGAGGATTAAAATCTAAGTAAATATATAATGTGATTTTTTTTAAATAATTTGATCAGCAAGTCAGTTTTTTACTATACTTATCAAAACTTGAATCCAAATATAGGGAACAGATAAAAGATGCTTCATATCCATGAATAATATTCAGATTTCAGATTTTATAACGGATGATCGAAAAAAAAGCGTCAATTGACCTTTCAAATGATAATCGATGATAATTTCTGTCGGGCTGACACCTACAGATATGCCATTTAATAAAAATGGACATCTAACCGTCCAAAAATTAATATTTAAGTGGAAAAAGCTATGTAGGTTAACTGAAAACAATTTATAAAAATATATAGAATTATACAGGGTGGCTCCAAAAAAAGTTACACATCAAAGTTGTGTTTTTTCTAATGGAATACTGTATATTATATTAATTGATTTTCGGATTCTAGGAAAAAAATAAAGGTAAGTTTTATTAAAGAAGCATATAACTAAAATCTAAGAATTTTGACATATTTAACATTTTGTGAAAAAACAAAATTAATGTGGAGCATTAGTCACTTTTAAAAGCAAGTTACTCCTTTATTTTAAATGGAACACCCAGTATATTTTTCCGGTGTTCAATGGGGAATTTATATATCTCCAAAATATTATTATGGTTGCCTACCCCTCAGACAAAGATTTTCAGAGATATTTTCATTTTTATGATTTTGCGTCAGTAAATCTTTATTATTTGAAAAAATCTAGGTGGCTGTGTGATATACCTTTTGTTAATTTAACAAAAATTAAAGATTGTCGAGTAAAATACTCAAGCGCAATAAAAAAATACACGTTTAAAACATATTTTAATTATTACAGAATTAAATCTAGATATTCTTTCTCAGCCTGGTTCCATCCAATGTTGGATATAGGCCTCTTCTAGGTTTTTCCATGCTTCGCGATCTCTAGCCAATCTTTTCCATTGTCTTCCCGCCACTGCCCTGACGTCATCGATCCATCTCCATTTTGGTCGGCCCACACTTCTTGTTGTTCCCCTAGGTCTCCATAGGATTACTTTTTGGGGCCATCGGTCTGGATCCTGTCTTGCCACATGTCCTATCCATTGCCACTTCAGACTTGCCACTCTTTTAACGACATCTATTAATTTTGTTTTTTGACGTATGTGGGTATTCCGTATTTTTTCCCTAATGGTGACTCCCAACATGATTCTTTCCATGGCTCTTTGTGCTACTCGTAGTTGTTCTGCTGTTTTTCGGGTAATTGCCATAGTCTCTAAGCCATACGTAAGCACAGGTAGAATGCAGCTGTCGTAAGCCTTTTTCTTTAGGTTCATGGGCACCTTTTTATCCTTGAAAATATTGCTCATATTTCCAAATGCTACCCATGCCAAATGGATCCTGCGTTTGATCTCCGTATTTTGGTTTTCCTTGCCCAGCTTGATTTTATGACCTAAATATATATAATGGTCTACGTTTTCAATAATAACGTTGTCAACGGTAATGTTATGGATATTGTTGCTCATTATCTTGGTCTTCTTCAAGTTCATTTTAAGGCCAATTTTCTGGGATTGGTCATTTAGCTCATTTAGCATGGTGTTTAGTTCTTGAATGTCGGTGCTCAGCAAGACAATATCGTCTGCGAACCTCAGATGGCTAAGGTGTACCCCATCGATGTTTAGACCTCTATTTTCCCATTCTAATTTCTTGAAGACATTTTCCAGTGCCAGTGTAAATAACTTGGGAGAGATGGTATCTCCTTGTCTCACGCCCTTGCCGAGTAGTATTTTTTCTGTTTTGAGGTCATCATCTAATTTAACTTGGAAGGTTGCACTATCATAGATATTTTTAATAATGGAATAATATCTGGAATCAATTCTCGCGTCCTCCATTGCAGCTAGAAATGACCAGGTTTCGATGCTGTCAAAGGCTTTTTGGTAGTCTATAAAGGCCAAATGTAGAGGTATATTGTATTCTGTTGTTTTTTCAATGACTGTTTTAATTGTTTGTAGATGATCGATAGTACTAAAACCTTTTCGAAAGCCTACCTGTTTATTGGCTGATAGGAATCTAGTTTCGTAGACAGTCGGTTGTTGATAATCCTAGTGAAGAGCTTGTATAGATGCGAGAGAAGGCTTATTGGTCTATAATTCTCTATATTTGTAAAATCTCCTTTTTTGTATAATAGCACAACTTCTGGGTTTTTCCATGCGTCCGGGATTCTACCCTTCATGAGACATTTATTTAACAATACTTCCACGGCATCCACTAATGGTTTTCCGCCCATCTTCAGCATTTCAGGTGTAATACGATCTTCTCCTGGGCTTTTACCATTTTTTATTTGTTGAAGTGCGTATTTAATTTCTGTGGTTGATATTTCTGGCATATCTTCTGATCCTACGTTTGTGATGTGTTTTTGTACTCTACCTTTGTTTGGTATAACAGACTGATAAAGTTGTTCGTAGAATTTGTGAATTTCATTTCTAATTTCATGTTTGTCTGTTGTTATAGTGCCATGTGTGTTTCTTATTTTTATTATTTTTTGTTTTCCGCGCATTTGCTTGCGTCTTAATACTTTCATGCTTCTATTGTTTTCAATTGTTTCCAAAATTTGGTTTCTCTTATAATCCCTTAGATCTTTTCTTATTTCTCTTTTAGTTGTTTTATTTAAGGTGTCATATTCTGGGGCATCTCTGTCAGTCTTTCTTCTTTCCCTTATTAGTTTTGTCGTTTCTGGTTTTAATTTAGATTCCGAAGGGTGTTTCATTTTACTACATATTTTCTTTGTTGCTGTAGTTATGCCCTGCTTTAGATTATTGAGAATGTCGTTGGGGTCTTGATCTCTGAGTGTCTGTGGCTTAGTCTCTTTTCAAGCTCTTTTTGATAAGTTTCCTGATTTAGTTGCAGAGCGTCCCTTGTAGGAAACATTGATCTAGTAATTAATTTTCTCCTTTCTATATTAGTATAGATTTGTATTTTGGCGCGTACTAGTCTGTGGTCACTTCCTGTATGAAAACTGTTTAACACATCGACATCTTTACAGATTGTATTTTTGTTGGTGAGGATAAAGTCTATTTGATTTTTTACTCGTCCATCTGGACTCCGCCATGTCCATTTTTTCTGAGTTTGTTTTTGACAAAAAGTATTCATACAGTATAATTTTTTGTTGTTGAGAAAGTTTACAAGCATGTCTCCTCTGTCGTTCCTTTCCCCGAGACCAAAGTTTCCTATGTAGTTTGTATCACCCGGTTGCTTCTTCCCTATCTTGGCGTTAAAGTCTCCAGTTATGATTACGTAATGTGTATTTTCAAGGTTCCTAGCCCGGCTAAAGTCTTCATATAATTCCTCAATCAATTCACTGCTCGCTGAGCTTGTAGGTGCATAGCAGTGTATCAGCTGGATACTGTATCTTTGGTTTAAGCGTATTATTAGATATATCACTCTATTTGATACTGAATGGTATTTAGTCTAGATATAAACCTACAATTATGCGACAAGAATTTGCTAGATGAAATCAAATGCTTAAAATGCTTCCTTTTCTGTTAACTGCATAAAATAATTGTCTTTTTAAAAGGATCTTTTCATTTTAAAAGGCATATGTGGAGTTCTACCTCGAAAAGCAACTACAATAATTTCTCCCATGTTTTCGACACTAGTTGGTCGAGTTTTGTAAACACTGTCTTTAACATATCCCCATAAAAAAATAAACTAGATAAAATCAGGAGCATTTAAGTACAGGCAGTCCTCGTACTTACGGCAGGTTAGGTTCTTCAAAATAGCACCTTAAGTCGAAACGACGTAAGTCGAATCTTATTTTGTCATAAGATCCTATAGAAAATTGAGAAGTTAGGTACTTTTGTAAGATAAAAATACGATAAAACAAAGATATGTGCGTTTGTATATATTAATATTATTATATTTTTAAATAATTGAGGTATGAGAAACAGTGTATTGTAACGTAGTTAAACTTATAATACAAGAAACAAAAAAAAACGAAAAAAAAAACAAAAATATAAAAAAAGTATATTTTTTTGTACGAAAAACAAATTAGTGCGAGTATTTTTACAGTCCCGCTTTTTCATTATCTAATCAAAAAAGTATTTTTAACTATCCATATAATAGTAAATATAATACATATACTAATATAGCAACTACAGAAATACCAGAGAGTAAAGTAGACATATTTAGAAAGTATATATTTATTTTTTTTGGTTGGAACTTTTATTGTGGGTATCGTCAAAAGTCGTAATAGTTGCTAATTAAGTAATGATCAACACTGTCCCGCTTTTTCAATATGAGGATCTGTCAACCCTGTTTGTATGCTGCTAAAATTTTATTGTTTATGTCCAAACTTCTTTTAAAATTTGGATCGTTCTTTTCAAAAAATGACGTAACTCGAAACAGTGGGACGTAAATTTGAGGAATAGTGACAAAAATTTGTTCGACGTAACTCGAAACGACGTAAATCGAGGACTGCCTGTATTCTATTAATTCATGAATGCACACTGCATTCACCAACTAATAGAATCATATCAATTCTCTCTGATGTAGGATTTTTTTTAGGAGAATTTTTTTTGTTTTAACTGACACAAAATGATTTGGTTTGGTTTGATTTGGTTTGGTAACGTCAGACATATCACAGCCATCTAGATTTTATCAAATAATAAAGGTCTACTCAGATCAAATCGTGTAAATGAAAATATCTAGGAAAATCTTTGTTTGAGGGCTAGGCAACCTTAATAGTATTTTGAAGAGACATGAATTCTCCATTGAATATCGGAATAATATACTGGATGTTCCATTTAAAATAAGAGAGTAACATGCTTTTAAAGGTGGCCAATGTTCAATATTAATTTTGTCTCACCCTGTATAACTTTTTGGATCAAATTTTAATTTGATTTAAAATTCAATAGTTAATTTAACTACATATTAGGCTATACCGGGTAAATTCCAATTTAGGTAGATTTTATTGTAATTTAAAAATTGTTCTTTATTTCTAGAAAATGTTAAATATGTCAAAAACCTTACATTTTAGTCATATACTTTTCTTATAAAACTCACCTTTATTTTTCTCCCAGAATCCGAAAATCAATTAATATATAGGGTGTTCCATTACAAAAAACACAACTTTGATATGTAACTTTTTTTGGAGACACTCTGTAGAACTCTCTATATTTTTAAAAAGTGCTCTGAATTAATCTACATATGCTCACAAAATTTCATTTCAATACAAACTGTCGTTCTCCTTGGAGCTTCCGCGGCGTATGAGAGGCGCCACCCTGTATATTTTTAATCCTTTGTTGGTCCAGTCCAGTTGACGGAAGATTTCTTCCAGTGTTGCTGTAAACAACTTTGTGTATCCGACAGATTATCATATACTGTATGGCTAATGGCTACTTTTAAGACCGAAATACCGTATGATCGAAAAAAAAACGGCGTCCAGTTGGCTTGGAAAAGAACATCGATGACAGTCCCCATATAATTTAACATATAAAATGACAGCGATCTTCATTTCATAGCCATCGTTGTCGCGGTTTTTCTTCCATCATGTTGTACTTCTCTGTGAACGTCGTCTAATATTAGACATCCTACAGTTACATAATTTTATACCGGGTGTCCGTTTAAAAAGAAATGTTTATATTTTAGCGATCGCAGAGAAAAAATTCCAAACATCAAGCAAAACATCCACGAATCGATTTTCGATATAGTTAACAATATGGATAAAATTCAGCCTCCTGTTAGACCAAAGACAGCCGAAGCAGAAAAATCGATTGAATATATTTTAAATTTAGGCTCTAATACACCTAGTGACTTCACCGAAGTGAGTATAGTTTCATTGTGACATTAACATTGTTTTATATAATATTCTTATAGGAATATTTTAATCAAGTTAAAATAGCTTGGAACGATGAGGGGGTACAACAGAGTTTTGAACGCTCAAATGAATATCAACTAATAGATAGTGCTGGTCAGTAAGTATATGCCTTATTAAATATAATATTCTGTTTTCTATCAACCATTGTGTGTTTCTTTTAGTTTTCTCAATCGAATCGATGAAGTACAAAAACCAGATTATATTCCTGACAATCAAGATATTCTGTTTTGTCGTATCGAAACGAGAAGCATATCGAAAATAGAATTTGAGGTGCCCCTTTCAAAGTTCCAAGGGGGACAAGCAAGATTTTGGATGTACGATGTTGGCGGACAGAGAGGTAATCAGAAATAATGGGACGCTTAAAAGCTTGATTTTCATGTGTCCGTTATCCGTTAATACGATGGTCGCTCCGATTGGCCATAGCGTTTTCACGCCACTTTTCATCGGTAAATTTTTTACTCCAGCCCGTCAACGGAGAAATATCGTACGCATCTACGATAACGGACGATTTTGTGTTTTTTACACGTTTTTGAGAAATTTAATATATATATATATATATATATATATATATATATATATATATATATATATATATATATATATATATATATATATATATATATATATATATATAAACGGGATTTGGTTTAAGTGTTTAATACTCATTTCCAATTACAGCCTATTGCTGCCTTCCCGTTACCCTACGCCACACATCTCGATTTAGAGCGTCATCAGCTTCTAGGTTACGAGCTTCCATTGCTTCCGTAACCGTTCCGTTCCAGGATTTTCTAGGTCTACCTCTCTTTCTTCTGCCCTGGGGAGCCCATTGAAAAACTCTTTTTGGCCACCTGTTCCCCGGCATACGCAGAACATGTCCAAACCATTTTAAGCTGGATTTTTCGATTCGATCCAGTACTGTCTCCTCCGATGCATTCATGATACGCCTGACCTCGATGTTTGTCTTTTTTTCCATCCTAGATATACCTGCACTTCTTCTAAGGTAGTCCATTTCAACAACTTGGATTTTGCGCTTCGCGTCTGCACTCAGAGTCCACAGCTCGGAACCATAGCAAAGAACTGACTCCACCAATGTTCTTCCAAGTCTCTTTTAGTTGTTGCAGATAAGTTTCGGTCCCACCAGAGGCTGTTAAGACATCCAATAACTTGTTTGTTCTTCTGAATTCGGGTTTGTATTTCTTCTTTGCCCAAACCCTCGTTGTTGATAGTAGCACCCAGGTATTTAAATTTGTCTACTTGTTGAATCTGGACGTTATCATTAATGAAGACTTCAAAACAAGTGTTGGAATTGACAGCTAAGTATTCGGTCTTCTTTAGACTAACCTGAAGTCCCCATTTGTTGTATACTTGATAAAGCCTCTTAGTCATGAACTCTAGATCGTATGAGTCCTGCGCAATCACGACCTGATCGTCTGCAAAGCTCAGGGTAAATAGTGTGTTGTCCCCAATGGGTATTCCCATACCTTGATATTTCGTCTTCCATTCCCTAAGGGCTAATTCGACGTAAGCGTTGAAGATCAGAGGAGATAAGCTGCATCCTTGTCGCAACCCTTTTGTGGTGTTAATTGGATTAGATAGCCTGTGTCCTATCTTAACGTACGATTCATTTTCTTTATATAGCTATTTTATTATCTTAAGCAAAGGTCTATCTACTTCTAAGATATTCAATACTTCCCATATCTTGCTGCGGGGAATAGAGTCGTACGCTTTCTCCAAATCAATAAATGCTAGATGGACTTCTTGATCTACTGCTATCTTTTTTTCCATCACCTGCTGCAGGACAAAAAGGTTATTTGTGCAAGATTTCCCCGGTGTGAATCCGCTTTGGTCTTCCGAGATTTTGTCACCAATACTGTCCCTGAGCCTACCCTGTAACACCTTTCCAAAAAGTCTGTTGACCGAACTGTTAATGCTTAGGCCTCTATAACAAGTGGGGTCGTTACGATTTCCCTTTTTAAAGATGGACACTATGTGAGCCACTCGCCATTCTCGGGGTAGTTTACTTTGCAGGCAGCATTGGTTAAATAGCTCTGCCAGACGCCAGCGTAGTCTTTGGGTTCCACACTTTAACAATTCGGCTACAATATTACCAGGACCTGGTGACCGTCCATTTTTCATTCTTTTGAAACTTTGATGTACTTCTCTTTTGCTTATCATTAAAGTGCCTGCAAGGTTGTTCTCATCTTCTACTGCTCGGAATTCTGGTCGGTTTTCTGTCAGTAATTCTGCATAGTAGTTGCGCCATTTTTCTATATCCATTCTATTCAAGAGCTTGTCCGTTTGATTGGTTTTCATTTGTCGGATTGTTCTCCATACCTCGTACTCCGTGCGCCCCCTATTAGGCTTTCCACTTGCTGGCACCTTCTTTCCCAAATATCTGTTTTTCCTACCTTAATGGCGGCTCGTACCTCTCTATTTTTTTGCTTGTAATGACTCCAGTTAGTATCTGTTCGGTCTGAGAGCCATCTTTGATAGAATTTTTGTTTGTCATTGATTAAGGCCTTTATGCTGTCAGTTATCCAAGCTGGTTCATCTGCATGTTCTGTTCACCTAAAACTTCGAAAGCTACTTTTTTAGGGTTTTTAGGTTGGTATACTCTAGTTCTACATCGTTACAGGCTTTCACTTCCTCTAGTGCTACATCTAATCTTCTCTGGTACAACTATTTAATACTGGCATCGTGTAGTAAATGAAGCTTGTACTTAATACGCTCAGATTCTTCAATTTCCAGTTCTTGTGATGTTGTGTATTCTATACTTTTGGCTCTGCTCTGGAAAGGTACTAATAATTCTGCAACGACCAGACGGTGGTCGGATCCACAATTTGCTCCTCTCTTAACTCTGCAGTCTTTGAATTTGAGTTTCGATATTTGTTTAGCAATCATATAATCAATTATAGATTTTTGTTGCAGAGAGGGCCTTTCTCGGGTATATCGATGAATTAATTTGTGTGGAAAGAAGCCGTTAAGTATACGTAGACCATTCAGTTCGCAAAAGTCAATTAACCTCTCTCCAGAATCATTAAGGACGTCCTCACCGTGTTTTCCAACCACTTTACTATCTTCTTTCTTACCAATTCTTGCGTTAAGGTCTCCCATGATTAAGACTTCCTGGCTCGGTTTTATTTCTGTGAGGACTTTTGAGAGTGCAGCATAATAAGAGTCTTTTTCCGCTTGGTCTGAATCATCTGTGGGCGCATAAGTACCTATTATTACGGTTTCCAATCCAAAAAAGAGAGTGAGAAATTTAATCTAACCTTAATAAAAATATAACAGTACAAGAGCTAGCACCGTCGGGAAAACGAGAATTGTAAGAAAGCTGATTCTTCTGCTATGCTCTCCTGATCAAAGTGCGGACCGTCTGGCTGCCGGTAGACTACTGCGGTTCACTACTGCGCCTCACATCTGTACCGGGTATCCCATTTTCGTGTGTTTTAAACCAAAAATACAGATTATCGCCTATACCTGCAATGTGTTGGAGTTGAAGCCGAGTTAGAGACAACTAGATAACGGGTGCATATATATTTCACATAAGTTCGTCTGTTAGGCAGACACTAACGCAATAGCGCAACTCCAAAATTCCGAATATCGATCAGCCCTTACTCTGAGGATTAGCCAATTGTCGAACGGGAGCGCAAACGAAAGCCGTACGAAGTTGGACGAAGCCGTATGAATGAATAACAGCTGGTGCCAGCATCTAGTCTCTTATTGGTCTAGTTATCCGATCGATAATTCAAAATCCAGGCTTGCGCACTACGCTTGAGCAAGCCTAACTGAGCGACTTTTGCAAATTCCTTCAGAGGATTTATATACCCATTTCACCGGCTCGGCTTCACAGAATGTAGTTTGGAGAGAATATGGTTAGGTACTTTATAAATATATTGTTTTATGGGATTTCTCGTTTATGAGTAGAGATAAATGATGCGATTTTCACATTACCTTTTTTATGAAACTAAGTAAGTATGCTACACATAGATTTGTTCTAACCTTCTTAGTTCCTGAAATACAGGGCGAATTTGTGATGTCCAGTAGTGTCCAGAATTTGTGATGTCCAGTAACAGATGGTGAATACAGATATGATGCGCTGTAGTAAACATAACGTCTACCGGCAGCCAGACGGTCCGTACTCTGTTCAGGAGATCATCGTACATCTGATGAACGGAGGCATGAAAATGCAATAAATTTAAAAACTGCGTAATTTTCTAACCAATCGAAGTCTCTCTTTCACGGAAAGACTACTAAATGGATTTTAATGAAACTTTACAATAATATAGCTTATACATCAGAATAACACATAGGCTATAATTTATTAAGATATTGTGTGAATTCTCCAAAATATATAACGATAATGTTCAAAAATAAGACACGGTTCGGTTAAATTCTCATCTTTATCCATGAACTATCAATTACAACTAGACACGTGTAATAGGTACTTTCAAATATTGTCACTAGGAGCTATAATAAATACCTATATTACACTTTATATTAATTAATATGTTTAGGTTTAGATACCATGTCTATGTTTTAACAGATAAATGTCAAGTATCTGTTAAAAACGTATTGTACCTTTGTAATGTAATAGATAGGTATTGGAAGTTTTTTGTGGTTAGGAGTTACACGTATAAGAAGATACTTTATGTGGAATAAATTTGAATTTTATGCGGACGAAGACGCGGGAAAAAGCTAGTCTCTCATATAGACATTATTTAAGCACAAACGAGAACGTACTCTATAAACATTTTTTTGTATTTTTTAAAGTGATAGTTTTTTGTATGGAAACATTCATCCCTTATTATGTCACGAAAAGATTTTTTATTTCATAAAACTATTTTTAGGACATAGAAAACGATGGATTCAGGTGTTCGATGGAATACAAGCCATTTTGTTTTTAATCAGTGCTAGCGATTTTGATCAAAGACTAAGAGAAGATCCTACTAAAAATCGTTTGCAAGAGGCATTTGACTTATTTAATGATATTCATAGAAGCAAGTAATGTGTAGCTTTATTTTAACTATTATGATCTACTGGGTGCGTCCCAAAAGTGTCTCCCCCTGTAACTTTTTTTTCAGATAAAAACGAGATTTGGTATGTTAGTATATGACATAGATTAGTGATAGATTGATTTACGTATACAATTGTTTTTGGTCACTTCCTGTTTCACCGGAAATGACTACAACTTTTGATTTTTAAATGGCAGCCTCGGTATTTTTTTACCTTTTCGATAGAAAATGACACTCTGAATAGAATGACATATCATATGTCAACTTTTGACGTTTTCTCATATGATTTATTTGAAAATGTAACATGCGGTTCTTAACGACAATTTGACTCGAAATAACAAGTGTGTGGTACCAAATTATTCCTAAAAAATGCTTTTTCCAAATATGCTAATGAGCCACCCTCGTTCCATTTGAAAAAATTGAGATATGATTAAAAATACGATTAGGGCATCTTTTAACCTGCCAGGGCAAGACACGAAAAACATTAGACTATCAAATTTATTTTTCCAAGGCTCCTTGATTAAAAATTGTTTTTAACATAGCCCCTCAAAATTTTTTTAGAAATTTAAAATAAGATTTTTTTTAAAGCGAAAATGTCAAATGTTGACATATGATATGTCATTCTATACAGAGTGTCATTTTCTATTGAATAAAGTAAAAAAATACCGATGAGGGTGCCATTTAAAAATCAAAAGTTGTAGTCATTTCCGGTGAAACACGAAGTGACAAAAAACAATTGAATACGTCATTCAATCCTAATTTATGTCATATACTAACACACCAAAACTGTTTTTTTTTATCTGAAAAAAATAAAAAGTTATAGGAGTGAGCCACTTTTGAGACGCACCCGGTATAATTGTGATTGACATTTATGATAATCTTTTCATTTTATCAGTTCATCAGGGTGCAGCCACACTATCCTAAAAACGGCGTATCGGCGTAACGACCTTGAATCGATTTCCAGTAATTCTGTTGGCTGAAATTTTTGACAGATGAATTTGACAGATAAAATTTCTGACAGATGAATGTTTCAGCCAATAGAATTACTGGAAATCGATTCAAGGTCGTTACGCCGTTACGCCGATACGCCGTTTTTAGGATAGTGTGGCTGCACCCTCAAGGATTACTTGTTTTTATTTTAATAAAAAATATATATTTATTTTAGATTTGTGAGGGAGGCTGGTTTAATAGTATTTCTCAATAAACAGGACCTATTGGAAAAGAAAATATTAACGCAACATCGAAAAGTAGAACAATATTTTCCGGAATACGCAAATTATGTACCAGATAAAAAAGAAAATTGGGATGGTAGTAATGAATATGACAGAGCTAGATTGTTTATGAAACATAAAGTTATGGTGAGCATAATTTGTATAGAAAATTTACTAAAAAGTCTAAAATTAATACATTTATACCTAGCACTCTCCTTCATTATTAAAACTTTATATAGGGTTGTTCACCACATACGACAAGGAGTATTGTAGCTAAACGACTAGATTTTTACAAATTGGAAGATTTGGGTTCGTTGAAGGACTGTTAGAGCTACAATTTAAAAATAATTTTACAAGATACAAAGTGTCGCAAATAAGTAAAAAATATTAAAGTTGTATTTTTTTAAAATTTTGTATTTCTTAGATTGAAATAAAGGTAAATTTGATTAAGGTTTATCACACTTAAACCTTGCCGTTTTTGAAATATTTTCAATTTTGTGAAATTGCAGTAAAAAATTTAAGGCTTTATTTCTCCAACGGTATGAAAGTTTTTTATACTAATTATTTCCTCAAGATTATTTATTGATCAGATATTGTGTTGCTGTAATAAAAAGTATAATACTACATAATACAGAGTGTCCAAAAATTTATATTAAATAATTACTAGCTTTAAACGGCAATAATTTGTTTAATTTAAATGGAACACCCTGTATATTTTATGTGAATCAGATGCACCATTTAATTGTCTATCAAATTGTATTATACCATTTTTTATTGCAAGCCCATATCGTTTATTACAAAAAGGAAACTATTTAAATCTTTGTAAAAGAGTATACCAATTAAATATACCACCATTATTTCCGCTCAAAAATTAGTTAATTACATAGTTAATTGTTTTAATTAATAAATTATTCTAAATAAATGTGGATTTGACTCAGAAATCAATATAATAATAAGTTATGAAAATGAACGTCTCTGTTGTTATAAATAAACCTTCATCAAAAAATGAAACAAAATTTATAAGGTGTTACTTTTTACACCACTGTCTAATAAACATACAAAATTCAGTTTTTTAGTATTTAGGGCAATTATTATTAATCAACGTAAACAATCAATTAATGTAATTTGAATACTGGGATCATACTATTTTTTGGCCCTGTTTAACAAAAAATATGTAAACAGTTTTTTTTTATTTTTTAATGAAATAAGCATCTTAAATCTTTAAAAATAATCTAAAATGTCAATATTCCATGTGTATAGGATAGATGAGGTGCAAATTATAAGAAAATACATTTTCTACGAAAACTTGAAGAGATATGTAGGTAAAAAATGGTATAATACAATTTGATAGACAATTAAATTGTGCAACTGATTCTCGTAAAATATACAGGGTGTTCCATTTAAATTAAACAAGTTATTGCCGTTTAAAGCTAGTAATTATTTAATATAAATTTTTAGACACTCTGTATAAGGTAGTATTTTGTTTATTATTGCAACACAATATCTGATCAATAAATAAACTTCAGTAAATATTTAGTATAAAAAACTTTGATACCCTTGGAGAAATCAAGCCTTAAATTTTTTAGTGTAATTTCACAAAATTGAAAATATTTCAAAAACGAAAAAAAAAACAAAACAAAAAGAACAACTAAAGTCAGTTAGTGTTGCTTCGGCAATTCTGGGATTCTCCGTAATTACCCGATTATTAGGCCTGATGCTCGAATAATACGGCTATAATAATCGCTCGGTTAATACGGATTTCAACGGCGGTGTTACTCAACTCGGATAAGACTTTCTGGTACACGCTGTATATTTTTAAAACAATATTTTGAATACTTAAGTGTTAAAACCAAATAAATATATTATACATTTTATTTGTATAAATTTTTTGAAATATATTTTTTACAACTGATCAATGAAAACATATACATTATGATCGAAAAAACGGCGTGCAGTTAGCTTGGAAATGAACATCAATGACATTTCCCATATAATTTTACACATAAAATAACAGCGATCTTCATTTCAAACCATCGCTGACGCCGTTTTTTTTTTCGATCATATGGTGCAATATGATAAAAAAAAAAACAGCGTCAGCGATGGCTTTCAAATGAAGATCTCTGTCATTTTACATATAAAATTATATGGGGAACGTCATCGGCCGTCATTTCTAAGCCAACTGGGCGCCGTTTATTTTCGATCATATGATAGTTCAATGAAAAAACTGTGTTAATATAAATATGAATTTTTACAGAGTATTGCATCTTCTCCGATTAAAATTGAAAATGTTGGATTTGTGCCTGGTTATAATATAAATCAAGAACTGCCGCCAAGAGATGTCTACGTCCATTTTACAATTGCTACAGATACTAATAACATAAGAAAAGTATTTGAAACTGTAAGGGAAATTATATTAAAAGAAATTACTACTGTAGCATTTTACTAACAGGGAAGACTAAACACTTTCTGTTTTTAGATGTAAAATAATGATGATAAGCTTCATTGTTTTTTTTATTTTTCATCTTAATGAATAAAATTTAAATTTGTATATTACACAATTAAATATATTACTGTAACTTCATTAATAAAACATTTTAAATAATAAAACTCACTTAAGTAACGACCATTTGAGCTGTTCTTTTGCAGACTGAAAAACCTATAACAATATCACATTAGTCACATATTGTTTTAACTAAGGGAAAAACATAAAAAACATCTCAACTCTTAAAAATAATATACTTATAACTTAAGAATAGCTAAATATAATGCCTATAGGGTAATTACATAATAATACTGAATAAACCAATATGAAACTAAATTCACCAAAACAAAGAATGTAGTGCATTTGTTACCTGAGCAACTGTTTGCTCCCCAATGGGAATATCATCGTTTCTTAGCGCTACCCTTGAAACTACTGAGCTTGAGTCAGCATCTATAATAATTCTAAAAACAAAACAAATAATGCAATAAAAGCAAGTAAATAAATATTAAAATGTGAATAAGCTTACCCTCCATCGCATATTTCATCCATAGCAAGCATTACAATATCCAATGATTCTAAAACAGCTCTTTTCTCCACATTTTTCCTTAAAATTTGACTGACAGAGTCGTACAAACAATTAAGAACACTCATGAGGATTAGCTAAAATAATGACAAATGTAACAGAATAATCTAAGCCTTATCTCAAAATAATATTTAACAAAATAATTAATATTTACTTCATTTTCATTTGAACTTCCCATTACATAAAAAAATAAATCAACGTTGCTTTTATAGACACAAGTAAGCCCATCCAGCATTATGATTTCGGCATTGGCTCTATGAGTTTTGTTGAAGAGATTTTTTTCGAACGTTCTTTGTTCTTTTGGTGTTGGAAAAACATTTTTATCATAATACTTTGCCAGAATTCGATTACCGTCACTGTCCAAAATTGCTATCGCTTTAACGCTGTATAAAATTGGTTCCTAAAAAATGTAATGAAGATTTATCCAGTTTCTGTCCCAGAGATATTAGTAAACATTTGTGTTTACGTATTTCTCTGAATTATTGTTCCAAAGTACCAAAAGTGAACCCTCCATCTTCAATGAATATACTACTTCAAGTTCTTTTTAAATTATCCAAATTTATCTAAATTTATTATTTCTTTAAAAACAAAAACACGTATACAAATTCTTGTCACTTGTCACTAACCTATATTTAGGATATTTAGCGACCACAGAATATACTACGAAATTAGCGACAAGGGATTAGAGATGTAGAGATTTTCATCAATGATACTAAAATATCGATAACTAATAAAATATCGATAACTAATCAATGAATGGATATGCTATGGACTAGCTTCTTTTATGTTCAAGTTTAAAGGAAAAACTTGAAATCGTCTGATTTTCACAAAAAATTGTATAAACCACATAAATGTACTTATCCTGGGATAAAATTACAGTAAACATTGAATTATAGAACACAGAACACCTCCATGTAATTATCTGTTGCCGATGGTAAGATGTAAAAAAGTCCCTTTTGGCTGTCAGGCTGCACCCTCAGGGCTAATCTGGACGGGGCCTACTTACTTTACACGGAATCCGAGCCGCGGTCCTTGGCTATATCATGGACAGGGTTTGGAAAACTACATGTTACTTTTAAAAACTACATAAACTACATTACATGTAGTTAATGTAGTTTATGTAGAGGGTGTAGTTTATGTAACCTATGTATGTAACTTTCAAATGTCAAAGGTTTGAGGTGAGGTTATAATAAGTTGAAGCTTTAAAAACACATAATGTATTTAAGAAAACAGGAGAAATATGGCTTTAAATATAATATTTACATCATATTATCTCTATTACACCTCATACGAAGGAAAATTATTCATAATATCAATACATAGTTTACTAACGTAGTTTTCATGTAGTTAATGAACGGAAAAAGACGTAGTTTTTGAAGAAAAACTACACGTAGTTAATCAGGTATATTACGTCTTAATTAACTACTTCCGAACCCTGATCATGGATCATGGTTAGTGGTGGTTAATGGCCTACCGACTTGGCGGAGTAAAAAGAATAAGGTTAATTTCATGTTTTGATGTTTGTATACAAAAAAACTTTTCCAACTTATTTACTTTACATGTTTAGTCTATAAATATGAGTTAATTGTACATTTTGAAACTAAATAATTATTAAACTATTTATCAAATATGGGCGTTACAATATTAACTCAGTTTCCTGTAGAGAACAAAACTGGGCCCCAAATAATTGAGTTGTTATCGAAAAGAATCAGTGCTTTAGGAGCTGTTCCACAAGGACAATTCTTAGTGGATTGTGAAACATATAGTTCAGTGCCAGCTTTAGGACATCAACGTACTGTTCATGTTTTGCATAACTCTGAGCAACCTGCTACTGTATTTGCTTTGCTTGAAACTGGTACTAAAACTATACCTTTGGCAACAGATGGATTATTTGATCTGTTAATGATGAAAATGTCGAGTTTTTATCAATCTAAAAAACAGACCAAGGCAGAATCAAAAGGTCCTCGATTTGAAATTGGAGATTTCTGTGTAAAGCTCGGTTCAGTAACTGTGAGCAGTAATTTTAAAGGTGTTTTAGTGGAAGTAGAATATAAACCATGTGTTGTTCCTGCTATGTGTTGGGATTTAATAATGGAATTTATGCAAGGTTTTCTTGGATCACTAGGTCCAACAACACCACCGTCATTTCTTCAAAATCGAATGCAAGATATTTATTCTCCAATTGACACAATTCAACAATACTTAGAACACTTTACGCTATTTAGGAAATCTCCAGGTCCAGCTTTGATAATGAGACCACAATAATAGTTTTATTTCTTTGGTTGTATAAAATAATGTTGCATGGGTATCATACTTTTAAGTTTATAACATTAGAAAAACACATTTTAATAATTATATTCTAATTTACAGTTTTTCTAAAAACTAATAACATAAGAGTTAAGATAATATAATAGTCATATAATAGTATAATTTATGAAGCCTTAAATGTCTGGTTGGTACATTTTTTTAATATACATGCTACGTTAGTGTATAATATGTTTTTGTTTGAAAAAAAAGTATATGTTTTTGTTCAAAAATAATAACACTATCTTACCTATATATTTTTAAGAAGTTGTATTTACTAATTTTACATCTAACAATTACATTGATAGTTGTTTGTGTATCACAAAAAATTAATCAGTATCAGGAATAGATTATAAACACCGGCATTTTTCATAACCGGTATTAGTTAATTTGAATTTGAGCGTTAAGGTCAAGCAGGGTCAAGTCACTCTAGACTTTTTATTCTTAATCTAAGGTCATGACATGACAGGCGACAGCCCTGACAGGCCTCTATTTGAGGTTATTATTAAGTTGTTCTAATGTTTATTTTTGAAATCTAGAGTTAATTTCCAATTTCCACACAACATAACTAGTGATAAGGAGGTGATTATTCCAAAATAGTATTTTTTAAATTTGTTCCTTAAATGTTAATATATTCTTAATTTTTAACTTCTAAAATTTTCATCATAATCGGTTAATTAGGTACCAAGAATCCTTGTTTTCATCTTATGTAATAACAACATAATAAAGTACGTATAGAAACGATTAATGAAATTAGTAATTGTAGGTGAAAAATGATCTTACGTAGAACAAGTAGTATATCTAAAAGGCTGTTTTCAAATCAAAATGCTTTGCAGCCGTTAAATGAACGATCCCTTCTAGAAGTAAATGGTCCAGATGCATCAGAATTTTTACAAGGATTAATTACAAATGATATTCACCATATTAGTAATTCTGTAGGAAGCATGTTTGCAATGTTTTTAAATTTAAAAGGTCGCATTTTATATGATACCATAGTATACAAGACTGATAAAAAAGATTCATATTGGCTTGAATGTGACAGCGCAGTGAGTTCAGCATTACAAAAACATCTTAAAATATACAAGGTTCGACGGAAAGTGAACATTTCCAGTTTAGGAAATCATAAAATACATGCTTTATTTAGTTTAAATAGTGATCACCAACAAAATGTTAATATACTAACTGGAAGTTACGATACTAATGCATTTCCAGGAACTTCAACTGATATAAAAACTCATAAGGATTTATTAATATTCAAAGATCCTAGAGTATCACAATTGGGTTTTCGAATAATTTCCTCTAGTAATAATGTTTCTAATACAATCAAAGATATTATCGATTGTGATATAAATAGCAGTTATAAAAAAATTAGGTATAATTTGGGTATAGGGGAAGGCATAAGTGACTTATTAGCTGGAAGTTCCTTTCCCTTGGAATGTAATGGTGATTTTTTGCATGGAATTAGTTTTCATAAAGGTTGTTATATAGGACAAGAACTAACAGCAAGGACTTACCATACAGGAGTGATAAGAAAACGTTTAATGCCTTTACTTTTTACCAAAGTACCGAGTTCTTTACCAGAAAATAACTCAATTATCCATGATGGTGTAAATTTAGGGAAACTAAGGGGTATTGAAGGCGATGTTGGTATTGCACTGTTAAGAATAGACAAAGCCTTGAAATTTGGAAATATATCAGTAGGTGATGGAGGAGCCAAAGTTATTAAACCACATTGGTGGCCTATAGAATTACCAAAGGAAAAACAAGAAACTACCCATGCTTCAATTTAACTATGATTTTAATCTAATTTAATATAGAAAATTCAGGAAAATATTTTAAAATTTTTTTGACTGTGATACATAATGATGCAGGGGTTAAGAAATATAATTCTTGTTACAGATTGCATATAATCATGCAAAGTCAAAACAGTTTATCCACAAAAGAAACCATGGAAGAAAAGCCTAGTACATCAGCATCATACATAGAAAGTAGTGATGTTAAAGAAAATCCAAAAGACAAACATCAAGAAAATATTTTTAAATGTGCATTATGTAATCTCAATGAGAAATTTGAGTATTTTGGTCGTAATCCACCGTTTATTAAAAACTATCAACTTCTCGAAGATGCTTATGTTATAGTGGACCCATTTCATCCTCCAAATCAGAACCAAATTTTAATTTTAGGCTCTTATTGTATTCACTGCAAAAAAATGGTCTGTAAAGATATGCACTGTAGCATTTATTTCGAAGGAACTCACTGTATAAAATGTGCTAAATTACATATGAACAATTTTCCTGTAACAATTCAAGATAAAATAAAAAGAAATTTAAAATAAAAGGATTTGTTGTTATTCTTTTTCTACTTTTGACTTTCCTTGTAACTTTTCAGCTAATTTCTTCTTATCTTTAGTACCTTTATTTAGTTTATTCTGAAAAAAAAAGAAAACATAAGAAAGAGTAAACTATAGAGAACATAAAAATACCTTCTTTTTAGTTGCAGATTTCTTGCCCACAAATGAACTTTGGTTAGTTTTTTCATATTTAATGGCTTCAATCTTTTCTTTTGACTTGCTATTCATTTTCTTGTTTCTTGTTGTTTTTTCCTACAAGAAAGAGTCACAAGTATAAGACTGAGTTAATATATTAAACTGTATAAATTAATATGAATATAGTACATACAAATAAGAATACTTACATTTTTCTTTTTTGCTTTAGTAGAGTTACACAATGAAATCCTCAAAACCCTATTTTTAAGGCTGACTTGTTCCATTTCCAGTGCTAACTGAACTGAATCGATATTTTTGAAGTTAACATATCCAAAACCTTTACCCATTCCTGTACGCCCATCTCTTATAATACGTACGTGAGATATCGGGCCACACACATTAAACAATTTCCACAATTCCTCTTCTTCTGCATCTAAATATTTCAAACATAATATAAAAATTCATAAATAAATATTAACCCTTTTACCAAAACTTAAATTTCCTATAAAAATTGCTTTAGACTCGTCATGTTTATTACTTTCTTCACAATATTCAACTCTGAGATGATGCTCTTCAAATAGATCTCCATTGGCTTCTTCTGCTTTTTTTGCATCAGCTGCATTACAGAATCTAAAAGAATTTTTGGTTTGAAATAAGAATAATATATACAGCTCAGGGATATTACCTAATAAATGCATATACAGTATTACGATCTGGATGAAATTCCTTTTTAATTGCTGCTACTTTCTTTGATACTTTAAGATCTTTCACTGGTATTCCCCTAATCCTAACAGCTTCAATCTGTCCATATTTTTTAAAATGCTTCTTTATTTTTTCCTTTTTTATACTTATTGGTAGATTTCCAACAAACACAGTTCTGTTAACATACTCCGCCGAACTCTTAGTTTTTTTATTATTTGCATTTTTTATTCGGTTTACAGCATTCTCTATATTCACAGCACCTTCAGAAACAACAGGATTAGAAGATGCAGATGAACTTTTTGCTGGGGTATTTGTTTTTGAAAATGGTTTATTCTTTTTACTTTTTTTAGTCCCTTTTACATTTTCCTGATTTAACTTGATTTTCTTCTTTTTTACAGGGGTTTGAAACGAAAAATCTTCATTATCTACTTCTCCAAAAGTTCTCTTTTTTGAAATTGATTTCTTTCCTAATCCTTTGGGCTGACTACTTTTTTTTTCAATAGGGTTCTCATGTTTAATTCCTTTTTTATTTTTATAATTGCTCTCCTCATCAGACTTCTCTTTTTTAATATTGGTTTTTACAATTTTAGTTTTGTTAGGTGCATTTATACCAGAAATTAATTCTGCTAAACTACCTACACTATACTCCATTATTATATAAATATATGTATTACGTATTTAATGCAGTGTACAATATTGTTACAACAGCCGAAAGCATCTGTCAGGCATTAAATATTAATTTTAACTTTTGTGATCAGCACGTTTATTTACAACTTCCTTCTCGAAAGTCGGTGTCACTAATAATGGTTAGTTTGATAATTTCTTCCTTTTGTTTTTAATTATGGTTAGTTTGTTTTTTCTTCTTCTCTTCTGTTTATTGCTCGTAAGCTGCTAGGATTATACGGTCCGCATATAGGTAACTATTAGTAGTTCTTGGTTTTACGGCCTAAGCTGCTAGGGCTATTCGGCATTTGGAAACCAATACAGCTTCTTTTTAAATTCATTTAAAGCCCTAAGCTGCTAAGACTGTCCGGCCTGTTAAAAGAGTTACTAAACTTCCATCCCTCTGTTACCCAATCTCTCACAAGGCTTAATCAACAAAATAATTCTCAATCATACATTTTTTATGTATTTTACTTTATAAAAAGTAAAAAAAAGCACTGGCGCGTTATCACCCATCCCTCGATCATATATAAATATATGATCTAAAACATAGATAAAGGAGTTATTAATGTAAAATGACAAGCACCATTTTGTTCTGTATATGTAATTTTCGCTTTTTGAAATAGATATGTAATGAAATTATTTATAATTATTTTAAAATTGAAGATTGTCATATTCTGAGGAATCGAATTTTCATTACTTTTCTTTTTTTATCTCAGCCCTATACCAAACTGTCAATGTCATTTTCCAGTCAAAAATTATAGCTTTGTTCTGTGGTTCTTTATTAAATTTCTTGCGATTTGTGAAATATCGTTTTAGAAAGGTAAATCTACATAAATTTGAATCATCTTTATATCTTTTTATTTAAGTAAATAAAATAATGCAACTATTTATAATGGGGTCGCTCTTGGCCCAGGTATTTCAGAAAAAAACTCTTGTCGGCTTTTCTATGATAGCCCCTCTCGATTTGAAAAATGGCTAAAATCTTATTTTTGTTCCAAAATAATTATGATGATATTAATCCAAGGTTTCGCAAATTAAAGAGTATGAAAATCTTTGATTATATTCTTGGCAGTCTGACAAAAATAACAAGTTGAAATTGATATTTATTTATTGTTGTTTTCATGTTTAAATATCGCCTTAATTATCTTTTAGTAAAAGCATGCCAGAGATGACCGAAGTCGAGAAACCCGTAGTGGCAGAAGCTAAACCAGAAAAACCAGAACAGAGTGCGGAATCGTCTACAGGTAATTTCATAAGAATAAGTTTATATTTTATTTCTAATATTAGCCATTAGACAGCGACTCTGATGAAGAAATTCCCGAACTGGAAGATGCGGGCACCGCAAATGCCGGTTCTACAGCTTTCCCTGGAGCATCCGCTGCAGGACTTCCTGTTGATATGGTCTCGAAAGCTAAGCAATCTCGCGGCGAAAAAAAAGCCAGGAAAATAATGTCAAAGTTAGGACTTAAACCAGTAAGTTTATAATGTTTGTCTTAAATTGCATCTCTAATATCAGGCGTCTAAATGCAAAACCCGACAAGTCACACATTTTTGAAAACAGTTCTATACACCTTTTAAATTGTTATCCAAAGAAAAACTCTCTGAATTACATTTTTATGCAAGATATTTGCAAAAGATACTGCACCGGATAAATTCAGTGGTTTAGGTTTATTATTCTTTTTAATATTCATAATATTTTAAATCATTTTTTGTGTATTCTGTAAAATTTATTTCAACGGACTTGTGAGGTTTTGCATTTAGATGCCTGATATATAATATACAATTTAATAAATAATTTAAAAAAATAGGGTGTCAGAGATGGCTTGGAAATATAGATCACTGTCATTTTGTATATATTGTCATTTCCAAGCTAACTGGACGCCTTTTTTCTATCATATGGTATAACTTTGACATAGTTGATTAACTTTGGCATACTTAAAAAAATAACTCTTAATATTACCATATTATGAAGTACTTTCAATAAAAAAATAACATTAAATATTTTGCTTGTACTTACCCTGTTAACTTTAAAGCTCTTTTTATATTAAAGAGCTTGTGGAAACTGAGCCACAATAGGCTCTCGCGGCCGCAGTGGAGCATCTTAACCACTCTTAGTCAATACAATACAAATACCCTTTTAATGAGAACCAAACTGGGTAAAATTATTCTTCTGAGGTTTACGAAAATCACAGTTATCCCGCAAAATAACTTTATTTAGAACTAAATTTAATAAAATAATTCTGAGATCACATAAGAGAAAATACCAACATGTTTATCGGAATTCACTATTCGGAACATCAACAAAATCAGACAAATAAACCATATATGAGAGACACATAACTCATTCTATGGATTTCAGATTTCACTAGTTATAGCATATACTTCTTTAGAGTATCTGGCAACACGGGGCGTCGAATACAGTGGCGGATACAGAGGGAGGCTTATGAGGCCCGGGCCCCCCCTAAAATCTGTAAATTGGTTTAAATCTTAGGCTTTTGACTTAAAAATGGCGCCCTAAAAACCATGTTCTATATTACTTTTTATTTTGGCTTCCCCCTAAAATAATTTCCTGTATCCGCCACTGGTCGAATAGAAGTTTGTTCCCACAAGCATTCAAACCAGTCAGAAATTTGTCAAATGTAATTATTGATCACACCAAGTCAGAGAGAACACTAATAACTAAAGTGAGAGAGACCGATCAATGTTAATTTTTGAAGACTGTGTTAGTGGCGCGGCCTTTGGCGTCTAACCCGAACTATGAGCGCATTATCGAAATAGTAGGTTGCATTCATACATATATACTGGCGCCAAAAATTTAAAATTTGTATATTTGAACTGAATATTAATCTTTCAAGTTTATAATAAGAAATCTTCGTAGTTTTTTTAGATTATTTTGTTGACAACGAAAATTTATTATTAGACTTTAAATCATTAAAACCTATAAATAAAATACTGTGTAGGAACATAATAATTTATTTAACTCCATACTCCTTGCCATACTCCAACTCAAGGCTGCAATCTTCAGTATCTTTTTTTATCTAACTTGGTTGGGAGTGAACAGGGAAGCACGGTTGGGAGCTCGCACAGAGTATCAGTAGGTATCCCGTAGGTATTCAATGTTTTTGATAGTCTTTATTCTGTAACAAGTACCTAGCAGTTGAAGAAAATAATTTGTATTACTGGAAATAATACCAGGTATAATACCTAGTCGTTCCATAGGTATCAGAAAAGAATGTGATGTTTTAAATTAAAAAAATTAAATTAGCAATGTATGATTATTATGTGCACTCACTATTACTATTAGGTATGTTAAAATAATTACCGAGATAAAATTTACCTTTAAAGGAAACGTTTTGTCTGGGTCTCAACCACAAAACAAAAATTACAAAAATGCCGAATAATCGTGGAATCTGAAATAATCAATAATGACAATAATCTTCTCTTCTGACAAGCTAAAAGAACAGGCACATTCAGTTAAAAACAATTTATTACTCCAATTTGCTCCGATTATCAACAGATTTTAGTTATCTCCTTCTAGAACTAAGAAATAGAAAAAGCTACTGACAATCTAATTAATCCTGTCAAATGTTTAACTTGCAAAGTTGGAAACTTCCTTTTTTGACCGCCTAAACGCTATGCGCGTCTGGGATGCGCGGTGACAAAATAAACTTGTCTACGAAATGCCCTATTCCACAAGCCCTCTCACTTTAGTTATTAGTTTCTCTCTGCACCAAGTCATACATATGTTGTAAACAAAAAACATATTCTGCTGAACAATCTCGTGAAAATCCCTTAATAGCCAGTTATCGCCAGCGGTTCTCACATTGTTGCCATTATTTTTATAAATTTTCAAAGTTAAATAACTCTATGTAATATGTATATAAAAATATGTTTCTTATAATAATAACCCCTTAAGATCACTTGTTTTTGGGACACTCTGTATATTAATAATGATAAATGTAATATTTCTAAGTTTCTTTTTTTTTTTTAATTTTAGGTTCAAGGAGTTAGTCGCGTAACCATCCGCAAATCAAAGAACATCTTGTTTGTCATTAATAAACCAGATGTGTATAAGAATCCTGTCAGTGACACATACATCGTATTTGGCGAGGCTAAAATCGAAGATCTTTCTCAACAGGCACAAGTTGCAGCAGCTGAGAAATTCAAAGAGGTAATGCTTTATTTTAATTTTTTTGATTAATTAGTTTTAAACATGACTTTTTTAGGTTAATCCTGCTGGTGATGGTGCTTCTGGCGCCACTACAACATCCGTGGCTCCGATTGCAGAGGAGTCTGAAGATGAGGAAGTTGATGAGACTGGAGTTGAAGATAAGGACGTTGAGCTTGTCATGTCACAGGCGAATGTCAGTCGAGCGAAGGCTATAAAGGCGCTGAAAAATAATTCTAATGATATAGTAAATGCCATTATGGAACTTACAATGTGAATATTTTTTCGATGTTTAGCGTTTTATTATAATCACAATTATATTGTATTTAAGAGTTGTTTTTTGACGTTATAGTGTGTATATAAAGTCAAAAGTGTTAGCCATTTAGTTTTACAAAAAAAACTTAATGATTTATCAAACAGAACGTGACAAGATTCAAATATTTCAGATTGTATCAGAGTAATTTACTAAATCATGATAACGTTTATTTAAAGCCAATTTGTTGTGACATGTTTACAGGAATTCAATTTCAATGTCTTGAAGTTATTTTATTGAATAAAAATATGGACTATTTTTCAGCTTATAAACTTGTTTTTAGTTTTTATTATATATTTTTTTTAATTACAGTTCTATTATTTTACTAGACAATTATTCCAAAATAACTTTAGTGCGGGTATATGACATCGTCCTTAATCTAGACTACCATAGTCTATCCAATGAATCAGGGAATGTTTCAACTTTCGACAGACAGTATCACAAAAATGACAGAAAATAAAATTTCTTGTGAGTTAAAGTAACAGGCAACTGTTACTCAGTGTTCCCCTCATCATAAAACCATATACGTCGTAAAACATGTACGTTGTTTTCCTGACGAGTCTGATTATACAATATGACGAAAAAAAAACGTCAGCGATGGCTATGAAATGAAGATCGCTGTCGTTTTATATGTAAAATTATTTATTGTCATTTCTAAGCCAACTGGACCAACCTCTTTGACTGGACACCGTTTTTCGATCATACTGTATATTATTATACAGACTTGGTCATTCTAAGCCCGTGGTTTGGATTTTAACGTGTGTAAAATAAAGATGGAGATACCCAAATGGATATTTTAACGTGCTAAAAAGAGATGAGAGTAAGCTCATTTCTATGCGGTATACGTTCCATTAGTGGTGACGTCTTATTGCGGAAGGTCAGTGCTTTATTGTTTTAACATAACCTCATATTACTTATCCCTATATATATCCTTTTATGTAATTATACCTATAGTAAACGCTTATATACTTACTCAGAAAGACACAAATATCTTTTGAACAGAGTAATATAATAAAAAATTAAGAAAAATTAGATTATCCCATTATATTCTTGCTTTGTTTGGATTTTGCAACACTGACCTTCTGCTACATGACGTCACACTAATGGAGCGTATTGCCGGCTTTCCTTGGAAATATTCAATGACTAAAGAATATAAGGACATGTAACGCCCCTGTACGGGCTGTAGTAGAATTTGTGACGTTAGACGCCATTCGTTTGATGCCAAATAGTGAGTCATCATCCAGTCACCAGCGACAATTTTAGCGATTTTTAATAGTTTGTTGTGTGTAGTGAACTTTGTATAAACTTTGTTACAATGGTGAATTGTGTAGCTTTCAAGTGTAAAAGCCACAGCGACAAGAAAGAGCCAGGAGTTACGTTTCATAGGTAAATAAACAGTCCACTCCAACTTTTAGCGTTTTCTTATTGAATTCGATAATTATTCTTCAATTTCAATTAACATCTATATGTACTTGATATGTGCTATACGTCGATACTAGTTTTGTATCTTTTGTTAACATTTTAGTACGTTTTTTTCGTAATTAGTTAGGATGATACACCATAGGCGTAGTCAAAACAATTATCAAAAAATATAAATATTGCTTCAAACAGCTAGGTTAAGAAAAATATGTGCCACGGCACTGTTTGATGCCAGCGTCACAATTTGCTGTCGGGTGTTATTTGTCCTTGGATTCTTTAGTCATTGGAAATATTTAATATTGATGCGCCTATGACGCCATCTCTCAACTTTGCAATCAACAACATTTTAAAATAGAAATCGTCTCTTCAATAGAATTCTCTTTTCCGCCAGGGTTCGTAGTTTGTCGTTTCAACGAGAGATGTCGCCATGCCCACTAGAAATTATATCTAGGGACTTTAATAGAAATTCTTAAAAATCTTAAAACCGGGAATTTTCTGCATAATTTGACTGGAAAGTTGTAATGAACCTGACTTATACTAATTATAAATTATACTATTTAAAATACCGTATGATCGAAAAAAAAACGGAGTCCAGTTGGCTGGGAAATGACGATCGATAACATTTTCCATATAAATTACTACTCTATTCTAAAATGACATCGATCTAGTCAAAGACAAATTCATAGGGAGAAAGAATACGCAGATTCGTTTCTCTTCTATATGTTATACCGTATGATCGAAAAAAAGGCGTCAGTGATGAATATGAAATGAAGATCGCTGTCATATACAGGGTCCGGCAATAGCGCGTCGGGCATCTGTAGCTCCTAGAATAAACAAGTTGAGAATTTTGTTTAAGTGCATACCTGAAGTATGTACCAGGATGTATTTCAGGAAAATATTTTAACTTCTATAGAGTGGCTCAAAAAAGTGTGAGTGGACCTGGATATTTTTTTTTAAATGGAACACCCTGTATATTATTACATTTTTGGCTTCTTTTCCGATCACTTTACATAACCCTAAGATATGAATAAATAAATTTTGATAGTTTCAGAGATATTAAAAAATAAATCAAAAATATTGTTTTTTCAGCCCTTCTTAAAAAAATTATTAAAAATACAAAAACTGTTTTGAAAACAAAACTATATTAGGTATTTTATTTTAGATGGTCTGTACTTACTTTGCTATAAATATGAAAATCGTAAATTATACGGGATGTTCAAAATTCTACGCTTTCTAAAATATAAAATAATTTTTCTTCGTTTTTTTAAATGGAACACCTTGTATATTATTTTTTCAATATACGGAGAATTAAAAAATGAACATTTTTTGTATTTAGAGTATTTCAAAATTTTTAACGGTTTCGCAGATATTTGCGGTTTTATATTTCATATGGCATTTTCCACAGTAAATTTTTATCAAAGCCACCCAATAATTTTTCTCTCGTATTTTACCATTGAAAGCGCTATATGAAATAATACTGCGTCTATCTGCGAAACCGTTAAAAATTTTGAAATACTCTAAATACAAAAATTGTTCATTTTTAAACTCTCCTAACTAAAAAATAATATACACGGTGTTCCATTTAAAAAAACAAAGAAAAAATATTTTATATTTTAGAAAATTTGGCGTAGAATATTGAACATCCTGTATGAATTACGATCATTATTATTTATAGCAAAGTAAGAACAGACTATCTAAAGTAAATACCTAATATCGTTTTGATTTCAGAACACTTCTTGTATTTTTAATAATTTTTTTTAAGAAGGGTTGAAAAATATATATTTTTGATTTATTCTTTAATATCTCTGGAACTATGGAAATATATTTATTCATATCTTAGGGTTATGTAAAGTGATCTGAAAGGAAGCCAAAAATGCAATAATATACAGGGTGTTCCATTTAAAAAAAATCATCCAGGTCCGCTCGCACTTTTTTGAGCCACCTTATAGAAGTTAAAATATTTTCCTGAAATACATCCTGGTACATACTTTAGGTTTGCACTAAAACAAAATTCTCAAGTTTTTTATTCTCGGAGCTACAGATGCCCGACGCACTATTGCCGGACCCTGTAGAGCATACATCGCAATACAGAGCATTTTTTCAAAATTTATAGGGCACTTTCCTGAATATACCATACGATCGGAAAAAGACGACGTCAGAGTTAGCTTAGAATAGAGTTAAAATTAACACCGCAAAATTTTACATACATTTAATGGAAAATTTTATTGTTCGTCATTTCGAAGCCTGCTTTACGTGTTTTTTTCGATCATGAAGGATTCAATTAGTTCTGACGCATAAGATGCTCAAGTGTACCTATGTATCAGAAGGCCAAATCTAGTTGGATATTGGATAGCGCCGGGAAAGAAATTTCGGGTTTCTACACCCAAAATGGTTATTTTTTATAGTAAAAATAAAATCAAAATTATTTATCATCAAAATACAGGGCAGCAGATCAAAAGAACGGACAATCTTGGGAAGGGGACCACAAAAAATATTTGCCGCCTTTCCTCTATAAGTAGTAAACTACAGGGTGTTTCAAAAAACATGTGCCAATCTCGTGGGGAGATTCCTCACGTATAAATAATTTTCTTCTGAGTGCTTTTTTAGCGATTAGAATGAAATTTTGAGGGTAAATACTAGTAAATAGTAACTTTTGAACTAAGTGCGACATATTTTAATGATAAAAATAAATAATATAATAATAAATAAATAAATAAATAACGCTTTATTGTACAAAAAGCCAAAATAGCTTCATCGACAAAGCATTTAAAAAACAAACAAACGCACAAAAAACATACAAATAATAAAAGATCTAACCAAGCATCATATATACAATTAAAAAAAAAATTACGTCATTAAAATTACAAATAGAACATGCATGGACATTGCAGAACACAAAATAAAACAAACGTAACAATAAAAATTTTACAATTGGAAAATTGTAAATGGCTATACTAATTTAAGAGTTATTATAAAATATTAAATACATATATACTAGATTTTTAATCAGTGTGTGAGATGATCAAAATTTTAAAATTCAAAATTGTTCAAGGTTAAACATCAACAAAATAGTCGATTCGAAAAAAAAGTCGTTTACCGAATGTAGGGCTCTTTCCAGTAAGTATGATTTCAGAGCTTTGCGAAATGCGGGAAAGAATGAAAGCGACTTGATATTCAAAGGCAGATGAGATTGTACATTTTTATTTTATTGTTATTAGTGGAATATTTTTCTAAAAAATATGTGCCACACTGATTTATTTTTCTCTTGTCAGCAACTTTAACAACTTTTCTTTTCTTAGTAACTTTTACCCTCTAAATTTTATTCGAATCGCTAAAAGCTATTGGAAGAGAATTAAAATAAATTGAAAAAAATATACTAAAACTTTAACCTCCTGTAGATACAAAACAAACCAGAATCAGATCTATGTTGATATAAAAGATAAATCTTATTTTTACGTGAGGAATCTCCCCACGAGAGATGGCACATTTTTTTTGAAACACCCTCTATCTGTATATCAAAACATTCTAAAACATTTACTGGCTCTGTATTATTGCATGTTGCACGTATATTTGATATCAATTAAACTTTTAGTTACGTAATCGAGAGCGCGATTTTTAAATTAATTGTTGCCAACCATGGACATATTCGGCGCCGGGCTGACTAACTGAATTTGAATTTCCCGCTGGGTATTCAGGTGGTAGTTTTGCTGTAAAAATGTCAAGTTGTCCTATTTATTTATTTATTTCCCGACATTGTCATTCGTTTTGACACTTGGTTTAAATAGTGCTGTGATACTTTAAGCTTAAAAATGTTCACTAGCAGACCTCGCAGTCGAACATTGTTCTTTT